TAATTCTGTTTGGGAACAACTACTACACCAGGATAAGTTCAATATGAAGAGGTTATATAGGTCGTTTGTGGAGGATGGTCAAGGAGTGAGTTGGAAGAACCTTTTCGTGAGTAATCTGGCTAGACCCCGCGCGCAGTTCGTGATGTGGATGGCATGTCACTCAAGACTGGCTACTAGAGATAGACTCCGTAAGTACGGGATGGAAGTGGACAGCACTTGCTGCTTCTGCACTCGGGATGAGAGCATACAACACCTCTTCTTTGGTTGCGACACTTTGAAATCCATCTGGAGAAAAGTGCTTACTTGGATTCGTATTAGACATGAACCTGCAGAATGGGATGAAGAACTTGAGTGGCTTTGCAGAAAAGGGAAAAGCAAAAGTTGGAAATCTATGTTGTTAAAGCTAGCAGCCACTGAAACGGTGTACACAGTTTGGAAGCACAGAAATGAAACAATCTTCAAGAAGGAATCAAAAACTAGAAATATAGAGAACGATATTATTGAAAATATTGTATATAGAGGGTGGAGTAGAATTAAGATGAGAAAACATTTAACAAAGAGGATGATGATGTAATATCCTCTGTTTTTTTGATTTTATTTGTCGTTCTAGATTCTTTTTGAGGGCCTGATCCAAGATTGATCACCCTGTGTATAGCTTTCGGATTTTGAAATCAATATACAAAGTCAAGGACTTTACAAAAAAAAAAAAAAAAAGAATTTATTATGAATTTTTTAAATTTAAAAACAATTAAAACAAAAATTAGAAAATAAAATAATAAACCAAAAAAATATGGACTGTCTGATCTTTGTCAAAACGCGTTAGTAAACAGATCCAATGGATTTGGCGCGCTGTGCATGTCATGGACTTTATTGGATATCACACTTAATCATTTTTTATTAAATAAAAACAACTTAAAATGTGGCACGTTGGATGGAGTCTGACTCACTAAAGTAATCAGATCTAAGGGCTCCTGAGACACGTGCATGATAAAGCAAACACGCCACATCTATTTCAAAAAAAATAGCATGGCACACCATCATTGGTTGAAGACGAGAGATGTCATCGTCTCAACCTCCAGCCACCCTAAAATGGAGTTCCATAAACTGTAAAATTAGCAAACCGGGCTGGTACCATTAGATTTGTCTCTTCAAGACGATTCTAATGGTACCCTTGCGCCAAATTTATATAAATTGTGCAAGACTCGATTTGGAAAAAACTAAAATAATAGCGAGCACTGAGTTTTGGGATTACAGGATCAAATCTCAACGAAAATGGAAATTGTAAGAACTGTAAATCAGAGAGATGAGGAGAAAAGATTAGGCACTTGTCTAGATTGATTTGGTTAAGAAATCTACCTGAAGTAAGTAACAAAGACTTGCTCTAAAATTGGAATTGGCTAGCACGATTTAGAACTCTTCAAAGCTTGATTCTTGTTGCGTTAGGTTCAGGGGAGTTCAAGGATTGTGAATGAGCAAAGAAATTGGATTGAATAATGGAGAAAAGGTGAATTCGAAAACTCAGAAATGTGAGCTATGAAGAGAGTTTGACAGGGTTATTATGGCTCTTCAAGCTTGAGAAAATGAATGAAATATGGTCCTTTATTTATAGGAGAGTGAATGGTGAAGAGAATTGGAAGAAATAGTGAGGTTTGGAGGGAATTTGAGTGAAGCCGTGAGCACAAGTGAAGTGTGACATGCAAACCATCAAAACTCATCCAATTCTTGTGTTTCAAGGCTTAAGCAAGTCTGAGCAAATTTTTTAATCATGTTTAGACCAAAAACGCGCCTTAATTTGGTGTTTAGAAGCCACATTGTGAAAATCAAATTCTGACTTTGAAGAAAAACTCAGTTTCAAGGTGTTAACTTTGAATCCATGGTGCACTCAATTTAGGAAGCTTTATGGCATGATTCTTAACGCATTTGAAAGATGATACAACACTCTTTACAATGTGGTAAGAAAGAATTCATTTGGATGTTTGAGCTAGAAGTTGTGTCCAGTCAAAGTTGAGAAAAAAGAAGCCGACTTTTATACTTAAAAAATTCCAAGTTTCTTGCCAAAAAATGACCTATAATGTTTTGCTTCCAAATAAGACCTTCCTTTAAAATTGAGCTTTGATCGTTGATTCTAGCTTGAAGTGAATTTCCCAAAGAGCATTGTGAAACTTTTATCACTCAAAAATTCCAAGTATTGAAAAGGTTATGGCCTTGTGAAATTGATGCAAATCCATGAGATGGCCTATATTCTTTTGACCTCTTGAGGTATCTTGCAACCATTTTCAAGCATAGAACCAAAAATAAAGTTAAAGTTAACATCTTTAAGATTATTTTGAAAGAAGAATAAGCTCAAGATGACAACAATTGATCAAATTATGCCCTTTTGAAGTTGCTCAGCCCTAAATCCATCATGATACAAGGTAACCTATAATGTTCTTGAAGATTTCAAGTATTTCCACTCAAAATTAGCCCTAAACTCTTGAAGAGACTTGTTAGTGACCCTTTAAAGAGAATCATGGCTTTGGTATCAATCAAAAATCTCAAAGAATGAGCAAGATATGACCCTTAGAAGTCAAGAAACCCTAGCTCCAAGAGTATCAACTTTTGATAATTTTCCTTGCACAAATGTTCTTGTCATATGAAGAGAAGTTATTGTAGGTGATAATAAGAACCTATGTCAAGAAGAATCACTTCCAAATATTAAAAATTGAGAGAGTTATGCACTTGTAATCAAGGAATCAAGAACTTGTCCATATTAGGTCAATTTTCTTGAACCAATGTTACATCTTTTGACTTCTCTTGGCAAATTGGACATGATGAATCACATTAAGTTTTGAAATTGTGATGTCTTGAAGCACACGAAAAGATGAAGTTTAAATCTCAATGAACTTGTTGAAGAAGGCATGGAAATAAACTCATGAACCTATGAATCACCTTGATGAAATTTGTTGTGTCATCACCTATAATGCCAACATCATAGAGCAAGTATACTTATATTGTATTTGTTAGCTAAAAGTCAATAAATACAAGATATAAATGTAAAAAACATACAAACCAAGGTGCTTGGTGATCCCACATGAGCAAACCTAAAGATAGGAAGAAGAACCAAACCCTAATGTGTGATCTTGATATGATTGAGTTGATATTGAGATGATGAGAGATCTTAGAGGCAAAAATTGGGGTATAACACGTAGTCATAACCCTTTTATTTATAATTAAAAATAAATAAAATAAAAAAGGTGCGCTTTAACGTTAAATGAATAATATATCTGAGCGCACTGAGGTTCGAACCCATGAAAGCTTGATTGTATCAGCGCAGTTAGGGCATCAACCATTATTATAGCCTAACAAATTTTTATTAAAAAAAATTAGCGCCTATTTTGAGATGACACCATGGTGTATGGAAGAATCGTGATGACTATAGGGTTGTTGTACGTGCGTATTATAGTAGTGTAAATTATTATTCTTAAAAATAAATATCTTTTTAATTGAAAAACAAATATCTTTTTAATATAAATAAAACTAAATATATAATGGTAAGAACATAAAAGATTATGTAGATAATTTATTTAACAATTATAAATAATTATATAAATTTATTTCATAGAAATGACATTGTTTTATTGAATTTTTTATTTGCAGAATAAAATTTTTATATAATTTATTTTACATTCCTAATAAATTATTTATATAAAAAAATCATTTGGTAACAATTGTATTTATTCATCTTAAAATTTGAATATTAAAAAAAAAGAGAGTTGAATAAAGTATTACTACAATACATTTTTCAATTTTTTTTCCGAACTCCTCATATTTCTCAATTAATATTATTTAAAATTTTTGAAATGGCCAACTAATATTGTTAATAATTTTTTTAAAAAAATTTCATTTACTAATAAATTTATATTTAAAAGTGATATATGAAAGTGTTTTTTTTTTCGTAACTAAAAATTAATGATAATGTATACTATTATTTTTACTATTAAAATTTAACTGATACATAATTTCTAAAGATATTAAAAAAAACTACTACATAACTTCTAATATAGATAAAATAGATGTTAAATAATATAACAATAATGTGTTAAAATTGTATTTGAATAAATTCTTCACATATGTATTATTATAATATCATAGAACAAACATATGTAAAATTTAAATATGTTTTCTAATTTAAGGAAAATAATTGGTGATTGAAATAAGATTTTTTTTTCTTCTTTTGACCTAATCTGCTTAAGTTTCTTTTTATTTATATTTAGATTTTGAGATTTTAAAAATGGTAGGTAAAAGGTTTCCCTATTACACATATTATTTTTTCTATTTTATAATAGGATAAATAATATTTTCATCCTTTTTTTCTTTTATAATATTCATTTTTGTTTCTTTATTATTATTATTTTGAGCAATTGTTTCTTTATTTTTTATTCACTTAAATCGGTTACTTTTTGAATTAAAAAGTAAAGAACTAGAGTGATAGATTAAAAATTAAATTGAATAAAAAATATAAAATATAAAATAAATATTAAGTAAAGGAGATATAATGAACAAAATATATATTTTACGCATTTTAGATTTGACTATATAATCAATTTTAATTATTATTATAAAATAAAATATTAGTATGACTTTTAAGATTTATCAAAATTCTAAAATAAAATATTAATATTTAGTACCATTAAGGCAATTTTTCAGATAGAAGGTTTCTTTTTATTTAGTTTTTGAGATTTTACAAATGGTAGGTAGAAAGTTTACCATGAATAAATAATATAAAAGTGGTCAAATAAATATTAAGTAAAGGATATATAAAGAACAAAATATATATTTTATGCATTTGACTATATATTCAATTTTTATTATTATTATTATTATAAAACAAATTATTAATATGACTTTTAAGAAAATTCATAAAATAAAATATGTAATATTTATTACCATTAAGACAATTTTTCAGCCTATATAATAGAAGTAATGTTAGTGTCTTGTAAATAAAAAGTAAAATCGAAAACATGACTACTCAAAGCTATCAATCTTCTTATATTGTGCTTGTTTTATGCATGAGTTTTATTATGATTTCTGGTAAGTTTTTAGAATTTTTTTTCTATCTTTTGTAGTATATATTTTTAGATAAATAACTTACTAGTTTAAGTTGAAAATTGTTATTATTGGCTAAAAATTTTATTTTTGTATGATTCAGAAATTGTTACAAGTTTGGAGACTCCAATATTAGTCGAAAAGCCAATATGTATTCATGGCTTGGCTGTAGACCCACGATTTTGCTGCATAGGGAGTTGTAGTCCCAGTTGTTCTACAGATTGCATTAATAAGGGATTTGTAAAAGGTGGACAGTGTAATTCTCAACTTGGAAATAAGTGTTGTTGTGTTGTATAATGAGTTACAATGTATCACTCTGATTGTTAAAAATGAAAGATGCACTTATGAATAAAAGCACCTTTTTTTGTTATGATGAATAAAAGCACTTTTTTTTTTTGGTTATATTTGTTCATTAAGAATCTATGCTACAAATTAATTGAGCGTGTTCGGATCCAATGACATTGTCTTGACGGTTGTAATTTCTCAGATATTTTATCGTGTTGTTGATGTTATATTTACGTGTTTTACTTGTTGTTTTAGTCGTGATGTGTTTTTATTTGTTGTTTGCGTATAGTTTGTTGTAACATATGCTTTTAATGAAAAAAAGCTCTGATATTAAAAAAGTACAAATAGTTTGCATACAATATTTATGTTGTTGATGACATAAACCACACTTTCTTTCTAAATTGTCAAGATCGACCATCTCAGTTGTGATACGTTTGCTATTGGGAAGACCCTTTTTATTCCTTCACATTTGGTTGTTGTGCCAAACTATTTCTCCTTCGTACGCATGTCAATAATCAAATTTTGCTACCACTGGAAAGCCATTGTTGTATATGCCGAGCAAGGTCTCGGACTTGTAAATGGGAGATAGAAGTAGTAATGTAACTTGATGAGTACGCGTACATGCCGTAATGACATGTGAGCAATGCATACAAAAAACTTGAAACTTTCCACAATCGCACCAACGAGATGGTAGTATAACCATATACTCTTGTCTTGACAGTCATTCGTTGTGGTCAATCGTCGTTTTGACAATGAAGTTGTGGTTATGTCGGTCGAACCGTGTAACAAGATGGGTGCTGGCTTTGGCACCCTCTGCCTTGATAAATTTCAGGCAACTTTCACTCCATAGTTGTCTCGATTGTAACACCGCGTACCACATTTCACCTCTTTTTGCAAACAACAATGTCATCCTAAAATATGTTGATTTCACCAAAGCAGTTATGGGGAGGTTTTGTATGCCTTTGAATACATCGTTCATTGATTCAACAAGATTTGTTGTCATGTGGCCCCATCGTTGTCCATTGTCGTATGACCTTGTTCATTTCTCTACTGGAATATTATTAATCCACTTACCTACATCTGGATTTAACAGTCTGATCTCGTTGCGATAGTGTTTGAATGAGGGTTGTGTTAATGCATACCCCGCATTCATTACTGTTTTTTAAGAGCCTTGTCTTTGATGCATGTCTGTCGAAGATCAAACAAAGATTAGGTTGTGGAGCCACGTGTGTTCAGAGATTCTTGAGAAAGAAACTACAAGCCACATCAGTATCGCCCTCGACTAGAGCAAAGGCAATTAGAAAAATATTGTTGTTGCCATCTTGTGCAACTTTCATCAGTAGTGTGTCTTTATATTTCCCGTACAACCATGTTCCATCTATCTAGATAATAGGTTTGCATGACGCAAACCCTGTGATGCAAGGTTAAAAACCCAGAACATTTGACTGAATATTCCATTCCCGTTGACAGAAGTACCGTCTGGGGCATACGCCGACAATGTTTCCATAATATAAATAGTTCCAGGGGCATACATCTGAAGTGCATGCATGTAGCACAATAGTTCTTTGTATGACTCCTTCTAGTTTCCATATACCTTTTCAATCGCCTTTTTCTTTGCTAACCAAGCTTTTATGTATGACGGAGTATAATTGTATACAGTAGTGATGTGAGAGATTATGGTTTTCACCTTCAATGACGGATCATTGCTGATGAGTGGTAGGATTTCCTGACATATTAGATCATAACTTAATTTACGATGATCTTGTGATTGAGTAGAATTAATACACGTGTGGATGGATATAGAACCTATCACCCAACAACCACTTCTCAACCTGTATGATGCAGTGAGTCTGAACATACAATTTGTGTGAATACACTTGAGCTTGTACCTTTTGGGATTTACTCGATCAACCTTAAAGTCGATAGAGTTTAACATGTGAAACTTTTTTATAGCTCACATGAAATATTCTCTTGTTCCAAATTTGTCATTCTCTTTTATATTTTCATCTAACTGCATATACGAGTTGAAAAAAACATCAGATGATGGTTTATCTTTCATGTTTGTAGGTGATGTGTAGATTTCATTTAGAGGTATTTGAGGTGCCGCATCATCTTCGGAGTCATCATTGACCATGTTGTCAAACTCTAACTCTCCATCTTCCTTTTCTTCGTCAATAATATCTACTTTTGCCTGTTCATCTTCGAGAGGATCAACCACTTGTAATTGAGTTGGTTGGAACAACTGAGGCTTCTGCAGCAGAATGTACAACTCAATCGAGTCATACCCAAAATACTCATGTCTAGAAAACATATTTTGAAGGTCCTTGTCGTCTTGAACCTCTACCTTAAAAAAAATTACTTGGTTCTCATAAAAAAATGAATTCGGTAGAAGATGTGTGACACTTGACCTCGTCCAAGTTTGATCTTTAGTCATTTTTTGAAATACAAGAAATTGGCTTTTCTGTTTAAATAATAATGAATGTTATCAGTATTTCTAAATAAAAACCATAAGTGGGACAATTGTACGTCTCACCATTGAAATGTGCGCTGATAACATATTGTGGTGCAGAGGATATTGTGTTAGAATGTTTGAGCGTAGGAGACTAAATAAGATTCATGTGATTTGAATAAGACAAAAATGCTAAGCCTACTAGGCGCCATCTGAGATGGCGCCTCCTCCTTATTTTGTTCATATGCGCCAACTGGGATGGTGCATCCCTACTAGCCCTTTCAACTAGCTTGCATGTGTATCAGATTGCCCCTATGTTGCCATCCCACATTTCCCATACACTGCCACCTACTCTACAAGTAGGCTTATTCCACGCCAAGTTGAATGGCACATGAATTCAACATTGCATATAGTCGCCAACTGAGATGACGCCTTGGTGATACATAAAATGCATGTAACCTCCAACCACCTCATTAACTCACATTTATACGAATTCGCCTATAAATGTGGCACCTCAGACACTTGTTTTGCATCACCGATCTACACACTCTCTGATACTTGTTTTACACTGTCTTATACAATTTCAAAAATGGTTCTCCTAACAATGGGCGACTCTCAGAGGCACAAAAGCAAACATTGAGGCATTTGTAAGTTTTTATATCATTTTATATTACTTATACTTTTTATTAAATTATTAATTAATTCATCTTATAAACTCTAACACTATTTAAATTTTGAATTTAGGATCCTAAAAGATTTAGAATTCGCTCACACCACTATATTCATCCGGACCCGTTAATCGTTCCATATCTAGAATATGACGATTTTGGGCATGTTATAAAAATATCAAACTGCACGATTGGTTCAAAATTTATACTTGCAATGTTAGAAAGGTGGAGACCGGAGACACACACATTTCATCTACCAATAGGTGAATGTACCACTCTCTAGAGGATGTGTACATGTTATTGAGTCTCTCTATCAAAGGTAAGGTCGTGAATGGGCCGGTTCAATAACCCAATTCTCTATGTGAGACATTGTTGGACAAAGATATGGTAGAAGCAACTGGTGCTAGAGGCCAAGGTATATTGCTATCTGACTTAGAAATCATTATGAGACTCTTGAGTTAAATGAAAATTCGACCGAGGAAGAAGTAACAATTAAAGCTAGAAGTTATATCATGATATTGTTTGGAAGTCTGTTATTCCCCGAAAGTACAAGGAATATTGTAAATTTTATGTATTTATGATTACTTATAAGGTTTGAGAATACAAGAAAGTATAATTGGGGTTCTGCTGTTTTACCCCATCTGTACAGTTCATTGTGTAAGAACGCATCAAAAGAAAAATGTACTTTTTATGGATGCGCTTTCTTGCTTCAAGCACGGGGTTGGTGGTGGAGTCCCTAAACCTCGTCAACAATAATGCATTCACTTTCCCCTATGCAACAAAGTAAGTCAACATGTTCAATAATTTTTTATTCATCTCTTTGTGAAATATATGTAAAAAAATTAATTATTTTTTTCCATTCCTTTAGGTACTGTGTAAGAGTATGGATTATAGCAAAAATCCAAGATTCAATGTAACTCTATATCGTAATCTTTTGGATCACCTTAGTCCGAATTTCGTACGTAGTACCTCTAAACTTTTCTAATTTTAAATTATTTATTTTAAAAGTTTTTTATCTTCTAATTGATTTTTATCCATAGTTTATCTAGATACCATATTTGGGTTTGGAGCATGAATCCAACCCCGAGGATACATCAATTTGGACGACAAAGGCTACAATCATACGATTTAACATTGTAGAGATGCACCACAACGACCATGTCAAGATACAGTTTAGAATGCATTAAGAAATACCATCTGATACAACTTGTTTGTCACCTTGGCATCTAAAAAGGATGGACGCCCAATGGGGTGTTAATAATTGGAAAGAGTTTGTTGCAGAATGGTGCAAGATGTGGGTTAGGCGTCACCTTCATATTTTATAATTTCCTGTTTTTCTCAACCAGAATAATATGCAACACACAAATCAGTATATTGATTGGTACAGGTCGGTTACTAACCCGGAAATACATGTGTCTCACCAGAGGTATTTGCTCGATCCACGCACACAATTGACACAATCCTCAAACCCCCAACAACAAACCCAACAAACATCAACCTCTCATCAAACACCACGGTGACACATACCCCAACCTCAATACCAACCTCAATACCAACCCCAATCCCAACCTCAATACCAATACACCCATATGCCCCACACCCAACCTCAATCCCAACCTCAAAACCAGTACACTCATATGCCTTACACCCAACCCCAACCCCAATCCCAACATCAATACCATAAACCTAAATGCCCCACACACAATTCCAGTACTCTGATCAAAGACCGTACATCCAATATCCCAATATAGGCCCCACATCATCTCACCTTAGCCCAGATCTAGGCAAACCTGAAGGGTATGACCCAGCCTACCCAACTTACCATCAACCATTACATTACTCTAGCACCCAACAATCACAATACCAAACTCCACACGACTCTTTTATTTACACAA